GAAGGACCTTTGGAAAGTCATGAGGAATAGCCTCAGGAAGGCCATGGTGAAGGCATGATCTTTAGGAAGGCCCTTGGGAAGGCCATGAGGAAGGACCTCAGAAGGCCATGAGGAAGGTCATGCCTTGGTTGAGTCTGACCAAATGTGACACTGGAAACTGGCTCCTGAGCCACTAGATCCACCCTTCCCCATGGTGCGTCCACCAGCACTTGACTCAACTGGCAGGTGACTGCTCTCTTCTCTCTGTTTTAGTAACCAAGGTCATCTGTGCCCAGCAGTGCTCAGGACGCTGCCGAGGCAAATCCCCCAGTGACTGCTGCCACAACCAGTGTGCTGCCGGCTGCACTGGGCCCCGGGAGAGCGACTGCCTGGTAAGACCTCACACCCTTGGTGCACACCAGGCCCTGCCACACTGTTCTTATGCTCATCTTGGCTATCAGAGGCCCTGACAGAAGCTTATTGTCTCCTTGGGCTGTGGACGCCACACGTGGCTATAGACCAGTGACATCCCAGATGTCCTCGACCCATCAGAGCTGCTGGATAGGACTCTGAGGGGCAGCACCTGGGTGACAAAGGTCTTTCAGGTTCCAGAAAAGAAGGTCCACCCTCAGCTGGACTCCAGAACAGGCTATGGTTTCAGGAAAGGGAAGGGCACACCCAGGATCCCAGCACTCTTGGAGGCCAAGGCAGGAGGGTTACAAGTTTAAACCCACCCTGGGCAACTTAGCAATTTAGTGAAAACGTGGCTCAAAAATTTAACAGAAGTGAAAATGGCCTGGGGGAGTGACTCAGTGTGAAGGACTCAGTACCAGGCCAAAAAGATTTGACTCACTTGGTCCAGGCTGCTTCTACTGTGCAGCTCGAAGGAGACACACGGAACTCCCTAGAAAGTTCCCGGCTGCCCAGCCCCACCACGCCCTCCTCAGCAAGTAACACATTCTGCAGTGTGCCCCAGCTTGGCCAGGGAGCCCAGCATAAACTGAGGGTAAAAGTGAGGTGCTGGGCAGCTACTGCTGGAAAGAGTGAAGCTTTCCTCAAGTTGTGTTTGATCAGCAGAGACACTGTTCTCCCTGCCATACTTGTAAATCACAGCCACTGGAGTTCAAGGAGATCTCATCTCTACAAGCATTTGCTGGGCTCCCCAGAGCACTTACTGGGGTTCCCAAGCCTGACCCTGCGCCCCGAACCTCCTGGGTTCTGGCCTGGCACTGAGCAGCACTGTGCCTCCATTGCCAGGCACTGGTATCCTGGTCCCCTGACTGGCGTGTCCCATCCCTCCTGACACAGGTCTGCCGCAAGTTCCGCGATGAAGCCACCTGCAAGGACACCTGCCCACCACTCATGCTGTACAACCCCACCACCTACCAGATGGACGTCAACCCCGAGGGGAAGTACAGCTTTGGTGCCACCTGCGTGAAGAAGTGCCCCCGTGAGTCCCGAGCCGGCAGCAGCCCTGCTGCCATCCTCCACAGGGTCTGAGGCCCTGTCCTGGTGCTGGGGGCCACTGTGACCATGTGCCCTGCCAAGAGGATTGTCGCTTACTGCACGATATCCTCTTCACCCGTCCCCGTGTGGACTGTGGGAGAGACGCCCCCTACTCTGACCCCGTCTTCCACGCCGACAGTCGTAGCCCATAGCCAAGGCCTGGCTGCACAAACCTGTGCCCTCTGGTCCAAGCCCCCACAGTACTGGTCCGTAGCCAATTAGGAACCAGCACACACAGTAGGAGCAAGCACTGGCCCCTGGATCTCATGCTCCCCGGGCTTGCTGAGCTCCCCTTGGTCGGGTCAGCGCTTTAGGTTCTCGAAGGGCCAGGCTACAGTGAACTGCGCAGGAAGAGGAGCTTGACTGGGTGCTTCTCATAGAAACACAGTGCATGCAAGTGCAGTGTACTCTTCTTCCCGGGACCACCTCGCCAATCTGGGACACCTTGTCCTCAGCCCAGGCCACTGCTCCACCCATCACGCTGGGTCCCCTGGTCTGAGCTACTCCTCGGGCCTGAACCCAGTGGAGCAGAGCCAGGACCCGGCGGTGCAACCCCGGGGGCTCGGGAAGTGCTGCCTGCACACTGCTGCTGCGGTAGGACAGTGGTGAGGACCGGCCCACCACGGGAGGGTGAATGATGTCCACGCTTTAGGAAGCAATCTCGGTTTCTAGAAGGAGACAGAAAAGCTATGAAAGAACAGCAGTGAGGAAATTACTTCCTCTGCATGATCTGTAGATGAAATATTTAACTGCTCAGAGAAAAAGTCCACAAACAGAATAATCATCCATTGCATGTTGGAAGGCCAGCATGGTACAGAAACACTGTGCTGTGGACAGCAGAGACCCTGTGAGGCAAGGCAGTAGCCAGCTGACCTGGAAACTGTGATCGCTAGTGCTTCGGAGGACCATGTCCAGGGCAGCCTTCCTAGACGGCTGCCTCCCCTCCC